GCGGTATCAATATTGTTGCAGATGATGCTGTGCTATTTATTGCAGTTAAGGCTTGATTGAAGATTTGCGTTCTCTCAGTAGATGGTTGAAGAAATTAAATATAAGACAATCTAAATGCATGGTCATTTCTCGGAATCGAGTAAATGAGAACGTCGTCGGAACGTAATTGATGAGACTATTGATCGCATTCGGGAAATTAAAGATCTTGGCGTGATTATTGATGACAAACTTAAGTTCAACTCTCACATTGAAAATGTCATCAAGAAAATTGACATGAAGCATGAACTTCTGTATCGTTTAAAAAATGATTTAACTATTGGCAGTAACATTCAGCTATAAAAATCAATTATCTTCTGATTTTTTACCCTTCTATTTTATTTTTAGCCAATGAAACATAAATACCGAGAATACAGCGCTTGCAGAACAAAATAATGCGTTTGATTTTGAAATGCAAAAGATTCACTTCCTCAATTTTGATGCTGGATGCTCTGAGGTAGTTGTCGTTGAAGCAATGAATTGTGTATTTTTTTTAAAGTAGTGAACGTTTCGCTGGCTCTATGTTTCTGTGATCGAATTAAATTTAAATTTTGGGAGAATACTTTAGGAATGCTACAGCATTATTAACTAGCATTACAGGATATTAAAGAAGAATTACCAAGAAAAATGTTGGTTTTATGCTGGTTTTAAAGAGGTTTATAAGGCTTAAGGACCACCCACATTAGATCCGTTTGCATTGCGTTGACGTAAGATTGACATTTTTAGCTGTTACTTTGCTGCAACGTGTCAGATCCGGATTATATGTGGGTGGATCTTTGGAATGGACTTGGAATGGACCATAATAAAACCAGAAATGTTGCTTTTAAAGAAACTCCTTGGAAAACTTTATGGGATTTCTGGGATTTTTTTGAGGGAGTTCATACTAGAATTCTAAGGTTATTTTTAGGTTTTTCACTTTTCTTTTAATATGTACACGGCGAATAAGAACGACCCAAATTTGAGTTTAGTTCACATAAAAAATCTGCCGGAAAATGAGGAAAATTGACAAAAAATTTACTCAGTATAGGAGTAGTACCAATAGCGGCACAGGTGGTGTAGTGGTAAGCGTGATTGCCTCTCACCCCAGCAGGCCTGGGTTTAATCTCAGTTGGCGCCCTTGGGATGTTCTGAGGAATAATATCTCTGATCACGCCTTCCTTCGGAAGGGAAGTAAAGCCGTTGGTCCCCGGTTCATGAGTTGATGGGTTGATAGGTAGGGTCCAGGTGTGGAAGCTGCCTCCCTGGCGTCGGTAGCATTGGTGCTAAGCGCGGAAAACAAGATCAACGGAAAACAAACCAAGGATACAAAATCTTTACTTTTCTCATTTCGGGAAGTTTTTGGACAAACCTGGAAAAACATGAGGCAAATTTACTCATTGCTGAGTTCCTGAACTTTATGTGATTTAAGAGTTAACTAAACTCAAATTTGAGTCGTTCTCATTCGCCATGTATTATAAGGAGAATACCGTGTTAGTTCTAAGTAGAATTTGAAGAGAAGCTGAGGAGGCTTTTACGAAAGTGCTGAAGATTATTCAAAGTAAATTCTGAGCTTAATTCCAGTATCACTCCAAAATAATGCTGAGTAGATGTTGAAGTATATTTCTAGGAGGACTCCAGGGAACCAGGGGTTGGAATCTGATGAATTCTGAGATAGTCCTAAGAAAATTCTTTAGAAAATTTCAAAGAAACCCAGTAATTAGTTCAAAGGGAATTAATAAGATAATTCTCAGACATAGGAAAATTTTCGCGATGCAAACAAATCAATAAAAAACTAGGTGATTTTTTCAATTCATTTTCATTTTCATTTTGCAGCGCAGGGTGGAGCAGTAAGAGCGCAAGGCAATCCAAGGCCGATAGTAAAGGAGGGGTAATGGCTGACTCGCCACATGCAGGCTACATGATCGCCATGGGAAGGGATAATGATTAGATTGAGGTAGGTGGTTGGATGTTTGTTGGATTGAGATGGCCACGATGCTACAAAATGATATGGAATGTGTAAACTGGAAATAGTTTGAAATTTAAATGAGTTATTTAGAATTCGTTACTTAAGCTTTTCCGAATTGCCAATTACTTCTATCAGAGATTTCGCGTATTGAGAGAATAATATAGTAATCGAGTACAATGAACTCAGGGGAAAACAGTACCTACAAAAGATTAAAAGTTATTAATTGTCACATACCTCTACTTTTACTTTTTTCCTAAACTATTCCTATCCTTGTTAATGCTGCTTGTTATTGGTCTGCTTGCATTTTCTTATTGAAGTTCAAGACTAAATAGGAAAATTTATTATATAACTTTAAAGGTTAGTTGCCTTCCTAAGCGGTCTCTCCGCATCCTAATTATTTAGTTAATCTACCTAATGTTATTAGACTTTCTGAATTTTCTTATTTAAGTTCGTTTGATGAATATGATATCTCATTAGTCTAATTTAATAAATTATTGAAATCTCTAATTCACCTAATCAATCACTTGTGCTTGTAATCTAAAGTTAAACGTGTTTCAAGTACTTTTGATTTTGACCTATACCTATTTATTATATCTTAGTTCGACCCAGGTGACACCTTCAAGTGACTAAAATGCTTAACTTTGAAGTTAGTTTCCTAGCAGATTTTAAATTATATAGGGTATATGTTCCAACTACGCTCACACGTTTCCACTATGTCGTCCCACAAAATTACGTATGAGTATGTCACAATAGAAGCACGACACAGTGGAAATCCCGAGCCACATTTCAAACATTTATCCCAAATCAAAATGAAGCACATGTAAGATTAGTTACAATACCATGTACAAAAATGATGTTTAACATTGTTCCCTGAGTAATACTTCAATGAAAACAACAATGAAAGCTTGTCACGCAAGTAGAAGGAGCACCGTTAGGCACTTTCTGAAATATTTCAATAGTATAATTCCCTTGCAAACCCAAATAAATCTATCTGCGTAAAAATAAATAAAATAAGAGTGATTTGCGGCAAAACCCACCAGTATTACACCCAACGTCAGTGCCTATACGTAAGCGTACTACGACGCGGCTTTCAATCAAAGGAGTAACAAGTGTGATACTATCACTGCTGGACTAGATCCTTGGTTTTCTCATGCAGTGGTTCATCAGAGAGGGGAAGCTTAGTAATCCCCATTGCCTGCCCATGGCGCCATTCTATCGCACCGGCCATAAACCTACCGTCTCCAACACTCCACTAACATGAAATTAAGCCCGCCCAGCAACAGCAAGGTGCAAAAACTAGCCAAGGGGAGGGAACTAGGTTATTTTTTTCAATTCAGTCATGAAAATTTAAACTGAAGAATTTATAAATTTGGGGTTTATTGAAAGGATTTGACGTTCTACTCATCTCCAAAATTCCCACTCCAAATAAGTGCTAACCTGGTGCTGCACATTCATAGACTGCACTGCGGTAGTACTGATCGTAAATCCTGGAACCCAATCCGGAACAATTCATCATCGTTGTCAATGTGACTCACCGCCCCGTTCTGATTTATCACTTACTTCTAAACGTCGCGTCGCTATCATATTTCACCGAGAACAGCGCAAGCGAACAAACAATTCAACCACACTGGAAAACTAATTGATTTCAAAACCAAACTTTGCAGTCGAAACCCATCAATTTCCCTCCAATTTATCGACTTCGTCTGCTGACTCGCAGCCGTAGTCATCCGCTTATCAATCACTTCCGTCGCAAACGAATGCCGATTGTCCGCCCGGACCTGCGGAAGGAGACACGAAATGACAACAGATGGAGTCCAGGTTAGCGTTAGAGTGAGATAGAACGAACGGAACAAATATAAACGAGATCAAATGAGATAAACTGGGTAATCCTCGGAAAGTGTGGCACTACTACCACTGTCGAGGAGTTCACTTTCACGGTTTGAATTTTACACTCTGTTTCTTGTGATGCGATAAAGGATCCTAGCCCTTGTGGGCTTTTTGGAAAAACAAAGCGAGCAGTGAGGCGTGAGTCAATGATTTTCTCATCGTCATCGTCCTTTGAGAAAGCTTTCGAGCTGAGAGTTTCGCTCTCCCTCTCTCGATTATTTTATGGCGCGTGCGTGACGCGCCCCGATTTCATTGAAAGAGGACTCGCTCGCACACGTGCTGGGGATGCTGGATGCTGTGTCCTGTCGATGGGCTCCACAGGGAGATGAATGGTGTGGCAGCTTCTTCACAATGAAAAGTTGTGAGCGCGTGAGAGATGCTCTCGTTTTTTTTTCGGCGATTTTTTCTCGGACTGGCTGTGCTGTGGCAAAGGACGGTTGTTACTGTCGAGAGCGAAGCACTTTCGATTAGTCCCGGACGAGACTTGGTTCAGAACTCCTGTGCCAACATCTGTACAGCGCGGTGCGAGTGCGTTTTTTTGGGGTCTTCCCTGCACACTACCAGGACCACCCCGACAACCACACCGGTGCGCGGTGCCGTCGCGTCTCATTCCGAATTCCTCCCCGAACTGACACGTGTAAAATTCGTGGCAAAAATAAGTGGAAGAAGCATTTGGCTAGAGCGTTTCACGTATAAGATACATGCGATTTGGATTGGGATTGGATTCCTGGATGGCCCATTCGTCGTAAGGGATTTACAGCCAAGTGGAAGGAATCGTGCAGCTCCCAGAAACGAAAACACAGTGAAACAGTAATGGATTTCTGGCTGGGTTGGCTGCTGATGAGCTGCTTGGAGTTAGAGTGAGGGTGGGTGGGTTCCACATTACGGTGGTTCGTCATCCGGAGGATAGAAGAAGAAGAACGACGGCGACCAACGAGATGTATCCTAGTGAATGTTTAATGTAGTGGAAAAAAGTTGGCTCGTATCTAGTCCTTTTTTTTCGGAATCGTCGAGGAATATAAGCCAAAGTGGAAGATTGAATGTGTGTTGAAGAGATTTGAACGAAATCCTGATTTCATCCTCGTGCGACCCGTTGCGGTAGGACGCCGAGAGGTGTGTGGTGCCATCCTCTAGAAAAAAAGTAAGAAGAAAAACAACAGTGAGTGTGAACGAAGGAAAATTTTCCATAAAACCGTAGTCAGAAAAACCAAAGTGGATTATTTTGCACATATTGCCGTTCTCCCGGAAAAAGTGTGTGCGACCATGAATGGGACACGAGAAGAGAACCCCGCAAATGGTTTGGGAAATTAATCGCCTAACATTAGGGGATCGGAATCTCCTCGTCGCCGACCCGAGCATGAGTTAGTGTAAGTGTCAAAGAGAGCTCCTTCAGAAAATTTAAAATCAATTCCCTTGATATAGGATGCCGATAAACTGGCTGACCGCACAGAGACAAATCTGCTATCGGCTTCCCACCCATACCCGCTGACTGTCAGCTGGCACCGCAAACAGCGGAAGCACAGCAAAGCTGTGAAAAGCAACATCCTTCCGATATTCCTATCCCTTTGCTGGTGTGACAATTTTGCTCCTTGCACATTACACACAGTTTACCTTGACCTCGATTCCATTAACCTCTGTCCTCAGCATCCGGTGAGGGAATCCGGATGTGCTGACTTGTTCGAGGGAAAGAAGTGGATTCCAGCAATGAATATCCGTACAGGGACCTCAAATGTGGTGTGATTTTTTCCCCATATATCTGAATTATCATGATAACTTCCGGCAGGGAACCCACAGCTAGCGGTAGGTACATACCTGCATGTAATGCTGGTTGATGACTGTCTCTTGGGTTGTCGTCACTATTTCTGTGGGAAAAATTAACCTACAATGCCGGGCTGAACTTTGTTGGTCAACAATACAGCAACAATTTCTACGATTGTGATTTGTATTCAGTAATTGAGAAGTGTGCTATACTTACCAGGTTTTGACCCTAGAACGTATGAACTTCCAAGACATTCACCAAACTGGTTGGTTGGAATGCAACCTCATTGCATCTATTGATGAATGGTTTTTGGACTGTTTTTAGCTCAATTAAATTATAGTTTGTCATGAAATACATCCCACTAGCTCAACAATTTACAAATATTTACATTATGTTAAAGATCTCATGTCTATATTTTCATATACTTTGATTTCGAAAATGAAATGTCATGACCACCTGTTAAATCAAGTTAACTATATTACCCGTGTTTTGAAGAATAACTAGTTTGGTCAAATCAAATCTTCTGAAGCATTGCTGTTATATATGTAGTTGTAATCCAACCTAGTGAATAGTGAATACTAGGGGTGTTCATTGAAAAAAAAAAATGAAAATAATTGAAATATAACAGGCCACCCTCTAGTTTGATTCGTATCAAAAATATCAACCTTTACAAAAAATGTTAAAGATTGATGAAGGTTTAGAGGTCGCGAAAACCGTTTGAAGTTTCAGTGGAGATTATGGCAAATTACTATGGGAATTTCGCTTCTATCGATCTATGTTTGGTTTAAGTTGCCAGATTACCCAAGTAACAATTCTGCAATCATTTGGCATCCACTCTGATTTATGATGGTTTTATAAGGGAAATGAACAATCCATTTAGATTAAATACAGCATTTCACAGTGTAAAACGTTCCTGCTTCACCTTTTCACTGTTTTAAAAACCTTTTACAGTCTGGCGAGAAGTCAAAAACTGTCTTGTTTTAAAATTAAATTTAAAGTTGCTCTCAATCACACCATAAAACTGTTATTTAAGTCAATCATAAACTTCATTAGCGATTTTTTATTAATGTCTTGATAAAATACTCTATAAACGTGTTCTATTATTATAAAAGCAACCATACTACCATTAGGTTTTAAATGAAAGCAAAAGGCATATATTGTTGCCTTTTAGGCTTTTTAAAGTGTATCATAAAATCTCCTCTGTTTACAAATTGAACAAAGATGGATCCTCATAGTGAATAAAAGTGAAGACAACAAATCAAGAAGACTGGCAACTTTGCCAGAATCCAAGCAACAGATACAGTGGCGCTGCGCTTGAGTGAAGGTGGAAGCAACGCATAGAAAAATTAGCAAATACACAAACCCTTCTTCTGAGGATGTAATCTTTGCTATCAAATTCGTTCGAAGCATTTACCTTGGAGCGGCAGATGACGCGATTGTACCTGTCTCATAGCGTTCGTATGAGAAAATGGAAATGTTGCCAGTCTTCTTGATTTGTTGTCTTCGATAAAAGCCAAATTTATGACAAGGATATCTCGAAGGATAAACGAAGTAGGATGAAAAATCCAAGGTTCTTTAGAAGAACCAGCACGTCCGGTGGAACGGGTACCATCTGGTGGAGAAGAGTGAAGTGAGCGTGGTCCTCAAATTCATAAAACATTGTCAAATCAACACCTTTATTTGTAAGGGATTTGTTGAAAGCAAAATAACTTTTTCACAAATGGCCTATAAAAATCAACTTCTATGCCTCCGCCATATTACAATTATTTTGTTTGTTTTCTACAATCTTCGATTTTCAATATATATTTCCATGGATAAAACTGTATTTTAGTCAATTTTGCAATGATAAAATATTTAGAATGCAAAAATCACGAAAAACAAAAATTTCGGCTAAGCTTAATGATTGATCTGAAGAATTTTTATTTAAAATAATTAGTAAAATCGATGTTTTCCGTGGGCGGACTCAAGTTTTACGATGTTTTCACGTACATAAAATTTTGTATGGCACCTAAAACTAGGCCACTTCATGAGAATTATTTTATAATTTTGGAAATTCGACAGGATTTTTATACGATCAGTTTTAATTTTAATTATTTTGACAAGATTGGATGGTATTTATGAATCCTTGATTTTATCTTGATTGTTGTTTTTCTAGTGAACTTAGCAAGCAGCTAGGGTAAATGGCTCGGATAATGGTTTTAATTGTTGCCAAATAGCTTTTATTGTAGCTTAAATACGGTTTTAAAATGGAATTCAATGTGTTTATCATGCAACAATTTTGCAGTATATCAATCTTGAAGAGCTTTGAAAATACACCTTTTAGAACCTTCTGCAGGGTGGGCCAACTAGACAGATTCTAGCATCAATGAGGTTTTGGTGAATGCATCAATGGCGAAGCATTCTTGACCAGGATTTTATGGATGTTGTTTTATTGCTATATTGTTATATTGCTGCTGCTTTACAATAGTATTTCATAAAACTTAAAATGTTACTTGGGTAGTATCTGCATTAAATGTGTGGTTGCCATGACAATGTTAAACAAACCTGTAATTGTAGTGTTGAAATTGGTGTTGTTTTCAGCTGTCAATTTTATCCTATTTTGTCATTTTTTTAATTTTTTCTCCAGATGCTAACAAACCGACAGCAGGGTTGCTTTGACTTACTAGCCGTCATACATAGGATTTTCAGTGCACAGTGAGCCAGGAATTAAATCGAGGAGGAAACAAATAATAACACTCTGGTATTGCATCCATTTGAGTTGGCGTTGCAAACTTTTTTATTAAGCAAGGTAGAGATTCGCTGTCTTTGGCAAAGTTGTAGATCGTAGAATTTTATGAAAAGTTGTCGAAGACATCTTGAAACATCAGAGATATACGAAGTTTTATTAAATTTGCTTGAAAATCTCGATATTATATTTTGAATAATCGTTCAAAAGAATACTTTTACCAATTTTTTTAAGGTAGGACTACGTCTGTGATTTCAATATGGGGGTACACCTTGTGAAAACCGAAAATGGAACATGTATCAAAATAATGAAAGATTTTGAACATTAATAATTCAGCCGACTCTGGACCAATTTCAATAATTGTATCACCAATCGATCAGAAATATGTCTACGAATCAATAGCAATACTTTCGACTGATGATTTTCAACAAGAAACTATTGAAAAAGTGGTAATGTGGTAATGTGGTCACTGTTTTCATGAAATAAACGTTCTTCCCAAACCCAGCCGTCATAATCGAGTACCATTTGGTTGCACATCATTCTGCTTTAACCTGAAAAGATATAAAAGAGCGATGCTGTCTAGCCTCAACTCATTTTCGCTTCGGACGGCGTGGTAAACTGGCAGCAGAAGCAGCATTAGCAGCAGTAGGAAGGTGGTGGCAGGTTAGGTACACGCTTATTATGGTCAACTCAAAATTGAGTCGAATGTACTCATCTCAGTGGCAAGTAGGGCTACTCAAAATTGAGTAGCCTTATGTTGACTCACTTTTGAGTAAACGACGTTTTCACGTAGACTGAGTCAAATCCACTCGGCGGTATTTTCAGTTGCGGGGAGGGTTTTTGTTTTGATTTTTATTCAAGGAAATGGAAATTGCCTGCTCCGGATTCATTCTACCGGACCAGAAAATGGTTCAACACTGTTTCTCTAAGCAATTCGTACTTACCTGAAGGCGTTTCAGCCGGTTTTGAGTAACATTTCCTATGAGGTTTCCTCCGACATGACTGGCATTTTTTCCAAGTCCATGATTTAGCTGACTGAGTGGTTTTTACTCAGTTTGACATTTCTCGTTTACTCAATTTTTGACAACTCGATCGATCGATCGACTCACCTGGTGAGTAAGCAGAAGTTAGCGTGTAGTCCATTATTCTACTTAACAAACAACAATGACTGGACGTGTCGCAAGGTTCTTCGTGATAACCGCCATCCGTCGTCTGGTTCGCCGTAGCGGTGTCAAACGTATCTCCGGTCTGATCTACGAGAAAACATGGTGTGCTGAAGGTGTTCCTAGAAAATGTGATCCGTGATGCTGTCACCTACTCTAAACACGCCACCCGAGCAAAGTCCAGAATCAAAATGACAGCGATTTAAAATCAAGTTTTGATATCAACATCAAACTGAAATCATAATTAACCGTTAAAACGACCAAAACGACAGCAACCTGTGTAGTCACTATCAGCGAAATCTCAACATCAAATTAAGATTTCAATTTGATCTCAGACTTTGCTCGGGCAAGCATAAGCGGCCATGGATGTCGATTTTAAGCGAAAGACGCACTCTGCACGGTTTCGGAGGTTAAATTATCACCAACTTTGGCAATAAAACGGCCCTTTTAAGGGCCAACAAAAACAGGCATGGAAAATCATTTGCATTCATTTCGTGCATTCATTTACATTCATTTGCCCCTAACTTTTTTCATCAACAGAATTTCGCAAAATGGTGTATCAAGCTTTTGTAGGTTTTGTTATTAACTACAACTTTTGTTATTAACTCAAATCCGTACCTCTTGTGTATGACGAAACAGAGCGAACAGAAGCCACTATTGTTTTTCAGTGAATGTATTTTACACTCACTGAAAATCAGTAACAAGTTCTGCCCGCTCTAA